CGATGATCCTACCTTTGGGCCATTTGAGGGGAGGAACGTTGTCCTCCTTGAGAAGCACTAGAGAACCCATCAGTGAGGGAATTTTTGCATCAAATTTCCACTTGGATCTCTGCTGGAGTTGATGAAGGTATTTATTATGCCACCTGCTCAAAAAGTGTTGGGACATCTGGCGGTTCATTTTGATTGTTCCATGTTGGGCTCTAAAACGGCGTTTACCGGTTCCCCAATAAGAAAATGCCCGTCAGTACCTATAGATCATTGGGATCATCGGAGATGGGACTTAATGGTCTGGAGTTCAAAGTAGCCTCAATGCTTGTTAAGAACGTGTAACATTCCTCATATGTTAGGGTGACATTATTTAATATGCGTCGCAAATGATGCTTGACAGATTTGACTGCGGCCTCCCACAATCCACCAAAATGTGGCGATCGAGAGGGAATGAAATGCCACTGAATTTTTTGATCGAGCAAGTAATTTTGAAAAGTGTCATTTTTTACCAGGCTGTTCACCTCTGACAACTCATTATTGGCACCTGTAATAGTATATTAAACAACAAGGTTTGAAAACGACTCTGCACACGAGCGAGACATACTGGTGGACCGAGCCGAAGGCGAGGTCCACAAGTCGAGCGAGTGTGCAAAGAGGTTTTCAAACGAGTTTTTTACGATACTTTTTATACGACTGCAAACAGAGACCACGAAAATCAAATTTTAATTTAAATCGTTTTTATTAAGAAAATTGCTAACGCATTAACAAAAGAAACTAATATTTAATCTTTATGGTAACATTTGAACATTCCTTCAAGGTTACGCTAGGAAAAGCAGTATTATTGTGCACCTTGTTTTCGGTAATAGAGAATATTTTTGGTGTCGCGTTTTTAGTGTAGTTTTTCAGCGTGCGGTCGTTGTTTTCTTATTGTATTCCAGTAGACGATCGTTGTTCTGGTTCTGTGGCAGCAGAAGGCACTGAAGACTATCTTTTTCGAAACTTTCAGTAGTTGTTCTAGGAGAGAACCAACGCACTTCAAGGTCACTCCAGGCTGCCACCGGGCTGCCGCCATCCGGAGCCGGCACCAGGTCTCCAGCAGCAGCTCCAAGGCCACGCTGAAGAAGTGTCAGTGGGTGTGGAGGTGGGGGATCTGGATTGCAGAAGAAGAAGCCCGGGTCCGTCATCGGCAATGACAAGGAGGTCGGCATCGAGGAGCGTGACGTCAGAGGCGGCACCAGGTGCGTACATGAGTAGAGGTGGGGGGCAGCGGGGTGCAGGCGTGTGGGGCGGCAGCGGGGTGCCGGCTCCGGATGGCGGCAGCGGGATGCCTGCATCATAGGGGGGAGCAGGCGGCCGAATACGGCCTACGATGCTGGAAGCCGGCAGCGGGCTGCGGGGGAGCGGCGGTGGCGACGGCCTCTTGGTATCAATCTTTTTGTTATAAGGTAGAAAATATAAGAAACGAGCGCGCGCGCGTCGGTTTAAGATATCAACAATGATGGTGTAACTTTCCTGGAATATGGCCACAGCTATGTATGACTAATACCAGATAAGATGCTAATATAAACAAAAGCGGACGCTTCAGATAAAAATTGACTGAAATTACTCATGACAAAAGTATTATTTAAAAAAATAAATTCCGTGTCGAATCAACACATATGAGTTGTTCTGTTTTAGCGTTTGCTTTGATACTCTCTTGGATGCATAAAAGTTTTATTTTTTTAATACACTAAACATATTTCTCCGGCCTCATATGGGAACGTGCCTATAAAGTAAACAAAATTTAATCATATAGTTATTATCACATAAAATAATATTACGCCGACAATCGAATATTTACGTATAAATATCAGTTGGGAAAGGTTAGTTTATCTATTATTAGAGTATGCATATACAGGGTGTTCACCGAAAGGCGTTTTAAATGGATTTTACATTTGAATTATTTGACAAAATTATAGCAGCTATTTTTTATTGTAGAAGTTGGCATGACTCACGTTCTTGGAAAACAATGATGACGTCATCACCATTTCCGGCACAGGTCTTGTTTTTATTACAGTTATGTAAACAAATGTATGATTTATTACCTTTTTCTTGGAATTTTGTCGGGCTTTTAAGCAGTTATATAAACAAAATTCAAAGGCGGTGTGCGCCATAATTTTTTCTCGGAAATTGATAAATAGATGTATTTCTAGGAAAATACGTGACCAAAGCGTCGTTTTTATCACCGTTATGGAAACAAATACATGATTTATTACCCTTTTCTTGGAATTTTGTCTGGCTTTTAAACAAGATTCAACCTGTAGCTGTGGTCCTAGCGTGGGAACTTGTAGATAAACGGGTGATGAAATATTTCATAATGTTGCATAATGTTGCGCAATGGCTTTATCTGTCCAGCGTTTCAGAGGCTTTTGATGCAAAACTGGATATAACCGGAAATAACCGGTTATAACCGGAAATAGCCGAACTCGTCGACTATAAAAGCCTGCGGACTCCTGAAAAGGTCTCATTTGCTTTCGAAATTTGTTCGAGTGCACGTGATTGTTTTGTTTGCTTTTCAAAGTCGTGTTAAACTTTTTTTATTGAAATACAAAATGTCAGTTGCCGAGACCGTGTGTGATGTCAGCTGTAAAATTATTAAACTGACCAAAAAATCGTTGACTCTGTTGAAGACCGATGACGAGATCAACAGACATATCAAAATTATAAATAAAAATATCGGCGTATTAAACGAGGCCATCAAAATTAAAATTCACAAAATTGATAAGAACGAGAATATATTCCGTTTGGAAAACAATTTGGCGGTGCTGAAATATTATCGTGAACAGCTAAAACAACTGAAAATTAAAAATAAAGTGTCCGGAGGTTCGGTAGTGCGTCCCAACAAGAAGAATTTGGTGTGGCAAGATGTGAAATCGTGCTTCAAGAGTCGTGTGCGGTCGGGAATCATCGTGAACGTTAGTCTCAAGGAACCTAAACAGTTTCTAAAAAAATCATTTCGTAGTTTTTCTATAAAAGCGAAAAATGCCTTAAAAGACTCGTTAATTAAAGTAAATTTAGTTTTTGAAGGAAATTTCGTAAAATTAAATGACGGGGAAGTAGATTTAAAATCATTCGGGACAAAAAACGAAATTATTGACCGCAGTACAAATATAAAACAGTGGTGGGAAGACAATGTTGTTCAACCTATACTACACAAACTCGAAAGCTTTGAACATCGTAATAGCGGCTGGACTTTGTTGGAAATTATCGGGTTGCGTGTAAATATAAATAATTATTCACCGATTACCGTGGGCTCGTCAACGTACGTCGAGATGCCCGAGTTTATTAAAAGAAAAAATTGTATTGTTAACGTAAAGAATAATGATGAATATTGTGTTTTATGGAGCATAGTCTCTGCTCTACATCCAGCTAAAGCACATATATATAGAATTTCGTCATATCCCGATTTTCGTGACATATTAAAATTTGACGACATAGAATTTCCTATAACTTTGAAACAAATTCCAAAATTAGAGCGTCTAAATAACTTGGCAATTAATGTGTACGGCATTGATAAGAAGGAAGTCCTACCGGTATGCTTGAGTAAAAACGATAGCAAACGAGTTATAAATTTACTAATGGTCCCGGCATATTCGGTTCAAGATAGCGACAACGATGACGATGAAACACCTGTTTATCACTTTGCGTGGATAAAAAACATGTCGCGTTTATTATCCAAACAAATATCTAAACATAACGGCCAACAACATATTTGCAATCGTTGTCTTAATCACTTCTCCGAGCAGCGTCTTTTAGATGATCACATAATATATTGCAATTATAAAACAAATACTTGCAAAGTAGAACTACCAGGTGAGCAAGAAAAATTTTTACAGTTTAAAAATTATCGTTTCAAAGAGAGGGTACCGTTCGCCGTTTATGCAGATTTTGAATGCATTTTGGAACCGTGTGACGAGAACAACGATCTAAATTTAAATACTCGAAATGTACAAAAACATACCGCGTTTAGTGTCGCCTATTATCTTAAATGTTCATATGATGATAGTCTCTCGCGTTTTAAATTGTATCGGGGTAGTGATTGCCAGGAGTGGTTCGTCCGGGAACTTGAACATATTGCCGACGAGGTGAATAACATCCTATCTCACCCGAAGCCCATGGAGCCTTTGACTGCCGCACAAAAATTCGAACATGATAACGCGAAATTTTGTCACATTTGCGAAAAACCGTTTACCAATTTCGATATCAAAATTATGGATCATTCACATCTAAATTCAGTCTACCGGGGGCCTTGTCATAATTCTTGTAACTTAAATTATACGGACAGTCACGTTATACCGGTCGTTTTTCATTGCTTGTCTTCTTATGACAGTCACTTAATCATACGTCACTTGGCTACGTCATTTGAGGGCAATATTTCACTTTTACTAATAAATAAGGAAAAATACATTTCCTTCACAAAAGACGGAAAGGATACCAGAATTAAATTGAGATTTCTAGATTCCGGTTTATGGCTGACAAAATCGAAAAGTTGGCCTCTTACCTCGATGACAGCCAAACAAGAATCACTAAATCTCATTGTAATTCGGAGGAGACTTTCCGTCTTTTGACCAGGAAAGGTGTTTTTCCTTACGATTATCTAAATTCGTGGGAAAAATTAAATGACACGACATTACCGACTAAAGACGATTTTTATAGTAAACTGACTGACGAAGCTATTTCAGACAGCGATTACGAGCACGCTACAAATGTCTGGAATACATTTAACATTCAAAATTTGGGGGAATATTCGGACTTGTACCTAAAAACTGACGTTCTACTTTTGGCAGATATTTTCGAAAATTTCTGTGAAAATTGTCTAAAAACTTACTTTCTTGAGCCTTTACATTATTATACCTCCCCCGGTCTGGCCTTTGATTCCATGCTCAAAATTACTAAACAGACATTAGAATTACTGACGGACATTGACAAAGTTTTGAAGGGGATCCGAGGTGGCGTAGTCCAAGTGTCGAACCGGTACTCAAAGGCTAACAACAAGTACATGGGTGAGGCATACAATCCGGACGAACCCGATAAGTACATCATGTACTATGATGTAAATAACTTATACGGCGCGGCGATGTCTCTTCCCCTTCCAACCGGGGGATTCGAGTGGGTACCCGTCGATCAATTCTACAACTTGAATATAACCGATTTAGCAGATGATGCTGAAATCGGTTATATTTTAGAAGTGGACATTGAGTACCCGCCCGAACTTCATGAACTCCACAAAGACTTACCCCTGTGCCCGGAACAAATGGTTCCCCCAGGAGGCAAACAATCAAAATTACTGACAACACTTTTTTCGAAAACCGGTTACGTTATCCATTACAGACAATTGAAACGGTGTATTGAGCGGGGATTAAAGATTACTAAAGTACACAAAATTCTTAAATTCAACCAATCGGCTTGGTTACAAAAATACATAAATTTAAATACGGATTTACGGAAACAGGCGACTAACGAATTTGAGAAAAATTTCTATAAATTAATGAATAATTCTGTCTTTGGTAAAACCATGGAAAATGTGCGAAAACATAAAGACGTTAAACTGGTCACACAATGGGAGGGTCGATATGGGGCAAAAAATTTGATCGCGAAACCAAATTTTCACAGTTTAACAATTTTCGATGAAGACATGGTTATAATAGAGATGAACAGACTCAAAATTAAGTTCAACAAGCCGATTTATGTTGGATTTAGTATTCTGGACCTTTCCAAAATTATACTTTACGATTTCCATTACGATTATATTAAACAAAATTTCGGCAATCAGGCTAAATTATTGTACACGGACACTGACAGTTTAATATACGAATTCACGGACATTGACATTTACGAGAGCATGAAGAGAGACATCCAGCTGTTTGATACATCAGACTACCCCGAAGATAATGCGTACGGTATGCCTCGCGTCAACAAAAAAGTACTAGGTCTTATGAAAGATGAAAGCTGTGGGAGAATAGTTACCGAGTATGCCGGGCTCAGAGCTAAAATGTACTCGTATAAAGTCGAGGGAAAACCCTCAAATATGCGTATCAAAGGACTTACTCGATCAGCCGTAAAACACATTACTTTCGAAGATTTCACGAATTGCCTATTTAATCAAAACACACTGGTTAAAGAGCAGAGACTTATACGTTCCAAACATCACGATTTATATACAATTAAACAAAATAAATTGGCTCTCAGTCCGTACGATGACAAGCGCATAATAAATTACGTCACCACAGACACGATCCCGTGGGGATATAATTTCCAACAAGCAGCGACTTGTTCGACCACTCCCATGGAGTTCTAAGTCGAAATAAATAGCGCGATATAGTAAACGTTGACATCATTTGTCTTTCTACCGTTGTTCGCGATGGCCGACTTAGACATTCAATTGCAATACGAACTTGTTAAAATTTCACAAAAGACTTACGAAGATTTCCTTCAAAAAGCCATTTTTGACGATAATTTTCAATTAATTGACAAAATTCTGGAAAAAATCGTGATTCCCGACCGTGTAATATATTGGCTAGCTTTGCGTGATAAATGTAACATCGGGTTGATGAAAAAAATCTTTGCCAAAAAACTTCAATACGATATATTTATCGAACAACTGCAAAATATTTTCCAAAAGGAATATATGTCTCATATTAGCCTCGATATTTTACGTCAAATTATAAAGAGTCATTATCCAATATTAAATTCATTTAATCGGTATTATTTGGAAAAATTATTGGTCAACGGTGATCCGTCATTGGTTGATCGACATAGTCAATGTTTCTCGGCAAAAAATATTTTTCTAAATTACAAAGAAATCGATTGGTCAATAGATAAGGCCGTTTGTGAGGCCGCCTACTTTACTCAATATAATTTTTTGGAAACTTTACACCGGGTAATTAAAGAAAATAATTTAATTTTTAAATTAAATGTAAAAACTAATGAAACACATAGGCAGCTGATGGTATGGCTCCAGGAGAACGTCTCCAAGGGTACCAATGGTCAAGGTGTTGGATGGTCATCTGGCCCAGACAGCAGCAAATGGCCATCAAAATTAGTTGGAGATTATTCTCAGACATTATATATGTTAAATAAATATTATTTGAAAATTTTTTTTTTGTTATTGTATTGTATATAGATATTGTTTTTTGTAAATATATTATATATTAAGGAAAAAATGTATTATTTAATTAATAAATTTATATATTTTTATATTTGTGTTTTATTTCACTTTAATTTTAAGTAATAATAATAAAAAACATTAATATTGTTTAAATATGAGTGTGACAAGGAAAAAATAAAAAGAGAAAAATATTCAATAAAAAAACATTAATAGTCTTTAAATATGAGTGACAATGAAAAAAATTAAAAATAAAAATATTTAAAAAAAAAAAACATTAATATTCTTTAAATATGTGTATGTGTGACAAGGAAAATAATAAAAAGAGAAAAATATTCAATAAAAAAACATTTATTTTGATAAAAAATAGTAATATAATAACATAATAATAATAATAATAATAATAAATAATAATTAAATTTAAAATATATAAAATATATTAGTATTGCCCCGCTGTGGTGGTGGTTTCCAAGCATCCGTGGGCTTCTAATAGCCTACGGTACAGCTCCTTGTCTGTAACAATGAGAGAGCAATTTTTAGATATAATTTTTTAAATATTGAACAAACATATCTTTTAATATTTTTCGAAATGGGATTAGTTTTGGAGGTACATCTTTCTCCTCCTTCTCCTCTTTATTTGTCTTTAGTATATCCCATACATATGGTGGGACGGTGCACATTTTGTATGTGCATAATTCTCCCTTTAATAATTCACTAATTGTTATAACTTTGTGCTCACTCATTGCTGCTACTGCTACTACTAATACACTGAATTGGATTTATGCTATAAGACGCGCGTTTAGCGTCTCACTCCTCTCTCTCCCGCCACTACTTCTTTCTCCCCACCCCACCCCACTCACTATTCGAGAAATGAAACACACAGAGTTCAGCAATATTTTTCCACTTTATTTAAAATAAATAAATACAATCATCAAGCTTATTCCTATTAACAATATACCATTTATATATAGCATATACATTCTGCCTAGTGCAGCGTAAATTATTAATTTTATGTCTATTACAATGAAATTTTAAGCTAGATAACATTAAATCTTTTATTCTACTACAGCCATACGGCTCCAAGTCAATAATAATATTATTAGGTAAATGAGGCTCCAGCCATCTCTTTTTCTCCATTCCTTTCACGAGGACAGGCTGATCCTCGTCTAACACACTATCGGATATGAAATCTCCGAGTCCACTGTACGGTAAATTATCCCACGATGACGACCATCTAAGACCGTGTACGTGATTCACAGTCCAGTCGATTTGGATTTTTACACTCTCCCTGAGATGTTTATAGGGAATCTTGGGCTTGACTATTCTATTCACACAGGATTTGTCGTTAATGTTAAAAATGGAAATTTCCTTGCACGTGAAAGCCAATTCTTTTTTGTATTGAAATCCCTGCAAGTCGATTATGTACATAGCTGCTGATGCTAATAAGTGCGAACTATGCTCGTCAGAGGGTTATAGTACACGATCCTATCGTGAATTATAAGACAATAGGCTGCGGTCTCCTTCGGGATATTGTCATTAGTACCGAATTCCAGTCTAATGTCCACAGTTCCCGACTTTAGAACCTCATTCTGACAGGAACAATCGACGACTACCAGAGGAGCCATATACTTGTACGTATATGTAGTTAGAAAAGGCTCGCTATCCTTCTGATAGTATGAATGTTGAAATTGAGCATACATGTCATACAGGATGGCATAACAATTCTTTGAAAAATCCACATTCAAGTTATCGTACGGGTACGAATCGGAATTTAGAAAAACCTTGAAATTGGTCAAATTGCAATGATCAAACTGGCTCATGGCCTTATCAATCTTATTCTTACGGGCCACTTGGAAGCCGAAAATTATGAATCGAGGCTTCTCCAGCTGTGAAGAAGTTTTTATGCTCCAAGTATGTGTCCGGGTCTCGGTAAGCAAGGGGTACTCGTGCAGTTCCCAGCTACGGAAAGGCACAGCCAATTCTACGTTTCTGTCGATATATTTCAACAATTTCAAACGTTCCGCATCAGCCACCGATACGTGTGGCACCTTCCATGAAACACTCTGTAGTTGTACACGGAGACCCTCATCGTCGCCAGCAACGCCCACGATGGCGTTCGTATCAGTGGAGCCGCGAATAAGTACCAGCTCCTGTCTCAAATTGACGATAATTTTCTGGAAATCTTCCCCGAATCCCATGCATATCCTCAGAGGGATGCATACGTCGAAATTGCCCTCGGCATCGGTGAAATGGTCGCTGATAATCCAGCCGGCATTTTCCAACTTTAGGCTTTCATTTTGACTGATTGACACGTAGTTCTTCATGATGGTCGTGAGGCCGGGGTTTCGCGATCTATCCACAGGTATACCATTCAACTCGTATCGGATTTCGTCGAACAGCAGCAAAATGCCCATCCTGTCGAACTTTGCCGTCGCCGAAACCGTGCCATCAGCTTTGCACAGTCTACCTCTGATATACAGGAGACTATAATATGGAGCCGTATACGTATCCTGCTGCTGAATCGGGATGCGGATTTCATCGTTGTTGTTCAAGTTCGTCGCCGAATACGGACCGTGGGAACGCTTCTCGAAATTTACTATGGCGTTATCGAAGAGCGGCTTCTCCAACACGTTTAGAATATTAGAATTCATTGTGAGGTGGGCAGTAGCACTTTGTAGCCCAGAGAGTACAAAATCTTCTTGTTTTGCGATGTGAACCCTTTAAACGTCACAGGTAGACTAATTGATTTCGCTCCAGGTGAGGCTTTTAAAGGTTTTCGGCTGTGACCGACGACAGCGAGCCCAAAGCCACTCCGGATTCTAAGCCCCATTCCTCTTCAGGTGCAGTCTTAACGTGATGACTTCTCCACGGAAATTGATCAAATCCCCGTCTTGATCCACTATTTTAATGGTTACACCCTCGATGCGACGCTTGTTGACCGGCAGGTAGATTACGTTGGCCGGAGAATCTATTATTTTATAGCCAGGACCGACTCTCGGGAAAAATTCGTGTAAGATGTGACCCGGTTGACCGTTAATGAAACTGTTCGAAACGAGATTGCACTCCACACAAATGGCGTTGACTTTTTGAATTTTAATAGGATTATTGGATTCGTGAAACTTGTTCGCCTTTAATTTACGGTTTTTATATCCCAATAATCTACCTATACTGTTGGGTTTGTTGAAATTAATTGTCGTGTTTGCTTTAATTTCACACTTTAACGTATTTTTATTGGATTTTATGGAAACAAACACTAAATTATCGGGGAGATTAGTATCGGTAGCGGTGAGCTCGGCTAAATTACTATTTATGTATGTATTTATATCTTCTATCTCGTAGGATCCCTCCGGTATTTTTATAACTTTATCAGCATCACCGTAATAGAAACGATTATTCGTAGAATCAACATTCGGTATGGAGTGGTAGGCTAGAAAGTCCGTAAGCCCGATTACATATTCAGCATCGTCCTCGAGCTCAATAGGCGGGTAAAACTGCGAACTCAGAATCGATGAATCACCCGATAACGTAAGCGTATATGACATATCAACACACACGTGCACTGTTCTGCTTGGATGACTCACGCCGACTGACCGTGACTTTATCAGCGTGACTCATTATATAGGAATTTCAGACATAGATGTCCACAATTCACCGTAACATACGTCTGGTATTGTTTAAGATTATATTTGACGCGACATGACTTTAGATATTTTAATAATTCCACAGGCGGTCTCAAATTACCGAAACTATCGAAATATACGGCTTCAGGTCCTCTCTTGCAATATGCCGTCCAATGAGTACCTGCACCGCTGTCACTATCCAAATTCAGGATCCCACTCTCGTTTTTATGTACATTTTTAGGTAATCAGTCCCTCATATAGACGCCTCTGAAGTGTGGAATTTCCAATAATTTTACGTATTTAAGTAAATCTTGATCGGTGAGGGCTCGATTCGGCAGTTTTTCTAGTCATTTGCTGGCTTTCTTGGTCTTGTTACAACACTTCTTCTTCTTCGTCTTATTCATATACAGTCCAAGTCCTTGTCGATAGGGGCGTAGGTAGAGACCTTTGCCGAGAGCTATTGCCTCCATTTTTTCATTGTGACGTTGATATTCCTTAAGCTGGGTGGCATTCCGAGCATCGTTTACAGCCTTGGCGATGCCCGCAGCTCCACCAGACAGAGCACCGAGAGCGCTAAGTCCCGCGAATATGTGAATCAGAGGCAGGAGACCGCCGGTCTTTGGAATTGGAATTACGCGGGCCTTTGGATGTGGTATGCCTCCGGTGCAGGCCATCTTCATGCGTTCGGCTACTCGAACTGCCTTCTTCACGGCATCCTCAACGGTGCTGGCCCGACGTACAGTACAGCTTTGCGAATTTTATCGGAAACTTAGCGGAATGTTAGAGCTCCGCCTGATTTTTTCACAGACTTCTTCCTCTTAGGTTTCGTGATCCCCCAACCCAATTTAACTTTAGCAGCCATGGTTCCGGCTACTCCCGCAGCAGCCGCCCTCTCAGGCAGTGAGGAATCTTTCGCGAACACCCTCTTCAGAGCTTGATGGGCTAATTTTCTGTCTGCTACGTTTCTGCCCGCCACGTCTGACACTTTAGTGTACTCGATGTCGTGGTCCTTGCACGCGTTATCAAGGCCGTTTATGCCTTGGTCACCGCGAGCAAGTCTCTTGGCCAACTTGTTGCCGGGGACACAGAAACGATACCCGGGAATATGCGCTTCGAAAGGTAACTTGTTTATCAAAGAATTGAAAAGTGCCATGTTACCTGTACCACGCACGTGAACAAATTAAGGTGCGCTAGGTGAGAGCTACCTATTTATAGTCGATGCACACCTGTCTTTCTGTCAGTATTGATCATGCGCTTCAAGAAAGAAGTTGCGGCAGGTGGAAGCCTCGATATCGAAAACATCGATTTCGTGGTCACCGGCGATAAGCAATTCAAAAAACATGGGCCCCTGCTAC